AACTAAAATGGACTGGAATGGGTGAATTTAACTCAGATGACCATTATATCTACTACTGTGGGCAGGAATCCCTTAGAAGAAATGGAGTAGCCATCACAGTCAACAAAAGAGTCTGAAATGCAGTACTTGGATGCAGTCTCAAAAACAACAGAATGATCTGTTCGTTTCCAAGGCAAACCATTCAATATCATGGTAATCCAAGTCTATGCCCCAACCAGAAATGCTGAAGAAGCTGAAGTTGAGCGGTTCTATGAAGATCTACAAGATCTTTTAGAACTAACACCCAATAAAAATGTCCTTTTCATTATAGGGGACTGGAATGCAAAAGTAGGAAGTCAAGAAACACCTGGAGTAATAGGCAAATTTGGCCTTGGAGTATGGAATGAAGCAGGGCAAAGGCTAACAGAACTTTGCCAAGAGAACACACTGGTCATAGCAAACACCCTCTTCCAACAACACAAGAGAAGACTCCACACATGGACATCACCAGATGGCCAACACCAAAATCAGATTGATTATATTCTTTGCAGCCAAAGATGGAGAACCTCTATACAGTCAGCAAAAACAAGACTGGGAGCTGACTGTGGCTCAGATCATGAACTCCTTATTGCCAAATTCAGACTTAAAAGTCAGAATAGTAGGTAGCAAAGTAAAGAAACAGACAGAAACTGAGTCCTTAAATCCAGCCTTGTCTGAAATCAGCACAGCCCCTGGGCCTCTGACCTTCCTGCGCAAATAAATGTACTTTATTAGTACTAAATGTACTTAGTCACTCAGTTGTGTCTGACTCTGCAACCCCATGGACTGTGGCCCACTGGGCCCTTCTGTCCATGGGGATTCTCCAGGCAAGAATACTGGAGTGGGTTGCCATGCCTGCCTCCAAAGGATCTACCTGACCCAGGATTGAACCCAGGTCTCCCACATTACAGGCAGATTCTTTACTGTCTGAGCTACCAGGGAAGTCTAAGAATACTGGAGTGGGTAGCCTATCCCTTCTCCAGGGGATCTTCCTGACCTGGGAATTGAACCAGGGTCTCCTGCATTAAAGGCAGATTCTTCACCAGCTGAGCTACCAGGGAAGCCATAAGCCAAATTAAGTTTGGTCCTATGTCACTTGAAACTAAGAAACAACTAACTCATACAAAGGATAGTGCTGATAATAATGTAAAGGCAAAGATAATAGGGAGAACAACAGACTGGTTCAAAATTGGGAAAGGAGTACATCAGGGTTATATATTGTCACTCTGCTTATTTAACTTATATGCAGAGTACATCATGTGAAATCCCAGGCTGGATGAAGCACAAGCTGGAATCAAGGTTGCCAGGAGAGATATCAATAACCTCAGATATGCAGAAGACACCACCCTTATGGCAGGAAGTGAAGAGGAACTAAAGAGCCTCTTGATAAAGGTGAAAGAGGAGAGTGGAAAAGCTGGCTTAAAACTCAGCATTCAAAAAACTAAGATCATGGCATCTGGTCCCATCACTTCATGGCAAATAGATGGGGAAACAATGGAAACAGTGACTGACTTTATTTTCTTGGGCTCTAAAATCACTACAGATGGTGACTGCAGCCATGAAATTAAAAGACATTTGCTCCTTGGAAGGAAAGCTATGGCCAACCTAGACAGTGCATTTAAAAGCAGAGACATTACTTTGCTGACAAAGTTTTGTACAGTCAAAGCTATGTTTTTTC